GAAACATGCCAACATGCAAAAATCCTGTACATTTTATTAACATAAAAGTAATTAATGCATTACCTGACAAATTCTTGAGTGTTATTTAAAACATCAGATACGAGTATGTTTCAACAGATACTCTATATTTCTGATGAAATAACAGGATTTCTAGTCATTAAACAAAACTGAATCTAACTGTTCTTGTATCAGGAATATAAGTATGGCTTTTAAAATAGTTTTATGTGCTTTTTTTTACCCTTAAAGCTAACTCATCAAAGTGATGATATAAATAAAATTTTAATATTGATTCTGTTCCTATAACCAGAATCTCAGTTGAATTTGTTGGCAAAGACTTCAGGATTTAATATGATTTATTGTTTCTTAATATTAAGAATTTGTTTAGATACCATTTAATGAGTGAGTAAAGCTTCGGCTCTTTAGTAGCATTTTTGTTTTCAGACAAACTGAAATTTTTAATAACACTTATGATAATGGTTAGACCTCTCGTGCTATTTTTAAATTAGTGATTGCCCATTTTGACTTTTAAATGATTGTCATTTTGCCAAAGTGCACTGGCAAAGTGCTGTTATGGCAGAACAGTTTGAACATTCAAGTAACTTATGATAAGTCATTGATAATAAAACCTGCCAAATACAGCATGTGTTTTTATTAAAAGTTAAAGAGAACACTTTTGTTAACCTCAAAATTATATGTTTAGCCATGAAGTTGATATAGTTTATTTATGATATGTAGATTAAAGTATTTACTAGAACAAACAGGAAAATACTATCTAGATAGGGATTATTTTTTTTTTTTTTTGTTTAACAGAATAATGTCTTTAATGTGTTCACATTCTTAATGTAATCATATATTTTAATGCATACTTAAGTAAATTTAAAGTAAACCAAACAATAATAAGATACAATTGCAGTTGTTGTGCTTGTTTCAGTGACATAATAAACCATTTGGTGGTATCTGCGGTGTACTTCTGATTTAATATGTTGCTTTCTGTTAATTCAATTGTGTTTCCTGTAGGTAGTCATTAAATTTAGATGCTTATTATGTAGATTCAGAAACTATTTAAAGGTAGTTTTGTCAATTTAACTAGGCCCAGGTGGGTAAAATGAATACTTTCCTGTAGTGAAAAGGAGATAGCCTATATTACAATGTCCTAGCCTTTATAAACAACTTGCATTTAAAATAATGTGAGATTATATTTGTCTATACTTAATAAATAGAGTTTCTTTTACATAGTGGATACATTATGAAATTTAATACATGTTCAAACGATACTAAAAAGTTTTCCATATTGACATCATTTTAAACATTTTAAGTAAACATTTAGTTCCCTCAAGTCCACTATTTTTATTATGTTAGTAAAGATACATAAATTTACCATTTCAACTTATATATAAGTCATGCAAATTCAGTCACATTAAGATATTTATATGTTTGCAACTATCACCCAGTTGATCTCTAGAAATTTCTCACTCCTCAGACTGAAACTCTGCACCTATTAAGCAGTAACTCTCTATCCTTCCTCTCCAGACCAGTAAACATTTTACTTTTTTTTTTGAGACAGAGTCTTGCTGTTGCCAGGCTAGAGTGAGTGCCGTGGCGTCAGCCTAGCTCACAGCAACCTCAAACTCCTGGGCTAGCGATCCTTTGCCTCAGCCTCCCGAGTAGCTGGGACTACAGGCATCCACCATGCCCGGCTAATTTTTATATATATATCAGGTTGGCAATTAATTTCTTTCTTATTATAGTAGAGACGGGTCTCGCTCTTGCTCAGGCTGGTTTGAACTCCTGAGAGCAAATCGCCCCTCGCCTCCAAGAGCTAGGATTACAGCGTGAGCCACAGCGCCCGGCAACAATTTTCTACTTTCTTTCTATCTATGAACTTAACTATTTGTCAGGTAATCATAACTGAACAACAATATTTGTCCTTTTGTGTCGTCTTATTCCACAGCATAATGTCTCAAGAATTCACTTCCAGTAGCATGTATCAGACTTTCCTTCTTTTTAGGCTAATATCCCATGTATTGTACATGCCACATTGCTTTTCCAATCAGTGGACCATTTGGATGTTTCTACCTTTGGCGTATGTGATAGTGTTTAGAATATTAGTAAGCCAAAATGTCTGTTCAATTTCTGCTTTAATCTTTAAGTATATATCCAAAGTGGAATTGCCAGATTAATGAAACAGTATAAAAAATCTTGTGTTAATTCTGTGGGCCATTTTAGAGAAAGAGGAACATGAATCAAGCTTGTAATGGGAGAGTGCTTTTGCTGTGCAGTGTAGTCGGATAGAGCAGGAGAGAGACTAGAAGCAGAGACTAGTTAGTGCTATGACATGTAACCAACTTAAAAGTGCTCAAATTCAGGTGAGATTCAAAGGAACGTTACATAAGAAAAAAAACAGGGGACTATGACATTATGGGGAAAATAAAACTACAGTAACTTGAGTTCTAAACCTGGGTAACAGAATGATATCGGCAATGTAAATCAAGAAGACAACTAGATTTCCTGGAAAATGAAATTTATTTAGGAATATTGTATTATATATATTAAATGTCACCCTTGCCACTCCTCCAAAGACCTTACCTACTCTGTCTTTTGTCCTACAGCATTTATTGCTCTTTAATGTAATAATTTACTAATATATTATTGATTATAAATAATACACCTCTACCTGAAAACTCACACAGGGTAAGAATTTTCTTGGTTTTGTTCATTGATGTGTATCAAATGTCTTGAACAGTGCATAGCACATAAAATACTCCAATAAATGCAGTTGGCTGAATGAATGGATAGCTTGAACAATATCTACACATGTGTTGAAAAAACCTTGAGAACTGCTACATGCAAAGTATAGTTTGGGTGCTTTAAATATACCAATTGTTTAATCCTTAGGCTTAGAGCAACCACAGGAGATAAATAGCACCATCCTTTGCAGATATTGCTGATGATGGTGGGCTGTAAAAATTTAAAAGTGTGGCATCTCAAAAAAAAAGATCTATAATTTACTGCCTTTTAATCAGGACAATATAAAAATGAACAGGTAAAAGCATTCACTTTTAGACTTGTGCAATATTGGGGATGCCAGTTCTTTTTTGTACAAGAAAGAGTACCTCTTTTAATGAAATTCTGTGTGGGAATTGATAATAGTGCATTGAAAGTATTTATATGAGTGTTGTAAAAAACATGGGTGACTGACGGCCCTGCAGGAAGTGAATGGTAGTGTTACACCTTTGCATGAGAATGAACAGAGCAGTGAGGTTTCTGTGGATTCCCCAGTAGACTATGTGGAGGCAGGGCAGTATGTGTATATGGAAGTGGGTCCCATGTATCAGGCTACTAACATTTGAAAAGACATAAATCAACCAAGGTGCCAGCTTGGAAGTCACATCAAAAAAAAAAACCTTTAGAGGAGTTGTTCTGATTATTACACGCCACCACAATTGGAAAAACTGTTTACCTTAGAAGCAAGTCTAGGCCTACTTCTATGAACAAATAGTTTTTTTTTGTAAAGTATGCTTGCATATAATAGAACTGAGCGTCCCGTTGAAATATCTAATAAAAAAATAATGCAATTTTATGTTGACAAAAACATCACTGATTACATCGAATACCCAGAGAAAAGAATACACCTTCAATGGTCACACTATTGCAAGAATAAAAGAAGAAAAGCGTGAACTATGTGGCTGCTCTGAAAGAAATTGAGACTTTTATTCCTAATTCTAGTCTGTATTTTGTTAATCAAAGACAAAATGTACTTGATGCACCTCAGGAAAAACAAGAACAGGGAAGCTGGAGTTACTTGTGAGAGCTCACTTGTTATGCTTAAAAGGTAAAGATAATCAATATTTATCAATTTAGGAACATGTTCTGACACTTAACTACAGTCTTGTAGTCTCGAGTTTCCTTTCAATTGTATTTAGTGAGTTTGCACCGTAGAATCTCAAAATTATATGCCTCCAAGTGTTCAGCATTTTTTATAGATCTTCATATTTTTTTTTTACCAGTTCGCTATAAGTACTGAACCTTATTATTAAATATTTTCTTTACGGCTCGCTTTGTTTACAATATAATGACATAGTTTTTGAAAACTTAAAATGTGTAACAAGAATACTTAATGATGACAAGCATTTTACCATAGCTTAAAAATAGTTCAATGAAAGATTAAATCATGGAATATATTTCTAGGTCGATCAGGGACTGTTTCATAGACAGTTTCCGAAATGGAAATGGGACTGAGGGGGGATATTTCAGAATGACTGAGCAATACATTTATTGTGCACTTTATTCTATATTACATTGTAATATAAAAATGATAATTATACAGTCACCATAAGCGGGGACCCTGTTCCAGGTGGGTAGGTGTTTTTAGAACACTGTGATTCTGAGCTTTCTCCATGTGTAGAAAAGATGAGCAGAGCTTTAGAAACATACACAGAACTGCATCTTCCTCTAGATTATCACGAGATTAGAGAGTATGAAGAATTAATTGCTTATTTATTATTTGTATTAAATAATTTATTGTTTATTTGAGACAGAGTCTGCTTTGGTTGCCCAGGGCGTAGAGTGATGATAGCGATCAGCCTAGCTCCACAGCAACAAAAAATCCTGGGCTCACAGGGCGATACCTCCCATCCTCAGCTCCGAGTAAGCTGGACTACAGCATGCGCCCACCGATGCACGGCTAGATTATGTTCGACTACATATATATAGTGGCAATTGAATTTCTTCTATATATTTAGTAGGACGGGGTTCGACTCTCGCTCTAGCTGGTTGGACTCCTGACCTCAAGCAATCCGCCTGTCTCAGCCTCCAGAGTGCTAGGATTACAGGCGTGAGCCACCGCGCCCGGCCAGAAGTTAACTTCTTCACTGTGTTATTTATTGCATTGTAAATGCAATGTCCATGTACCACCTCCTTTGGTATCCATGCTACACTTTGGAAACCACTATCTTAGATAATCTCTAAGATTGCTTTTGGCTCTAATAAACTCAGAAAGAAGGGCAAGTGACTTAAAAAGCTACCTCACAGAAGAAGATGGCCAAAACACATGTAAAAATGCATTAACCTTATTGGTACTCAAAGAAATACAAATAAAACTAAATGAGAAACCCATATACATCGCAGAATGACTAAAATTAAAAAGACTCACAATAATAAGCATCAGCAAAGATGTGGAGCAAAGGAAACTCATATGCTGATGGTGGAAATATAAATCAATACAACTGTTTTTGCAAAGTTTGACATTATTATCGTCTATTGAAGTTAAAGATACATATAACCTAAGACCTAGCAATTTCACTTCTAGATACACACCTAACAGAAATGGTCATATACAAGAATCAAGAGATAAGTACAATACTCAAAGCAGCATTATGTGTAATAGTCCCACATTGTAAACAATCTAATATCCATTCATAGTAGAAAAGATAAATTATAGTATATTTGTACAATAAAACATATTACAGTGAAAAGAAATGCATAACAGCTACATACCACATAAATAATCTCACAGACATAATGTTAAATGAAAGAACTCAGGAAAAAGATAGTGTTATAAGAATGCATTTATACTGAGTTTAAAAATTTTACAAAATTAAACTACAGTGTTTAGAGATCCACGTTTCGTTAGTAATACCACTAAAACAGAGTCTACCATAGAAGTCAGGACAGTAGTTACTAGAGGTGAGAAGAGGAAGGAGAGGGGTTGGTGACTGGGGTAGGAGCACAGGGGGTTTCTTTGGTGCTGGCAGTGATAGCTGCATGGAGATTTTATGATATATTTTTGCTCTGTAAATATTTTTTGTTTACCCTTTTGTGTTAGATTTAATAATCAAAAGATTTCAAAAAGCACACAACCTAAAACATTGGAGCTTACTGGAAAGTAACTTAAATCTGAAAGACAGGTCATTTATATGTTTTATATAGTTCTGTTTTCTCAGAGATAAGAAAAAAGATAAGTCACTTTGTCATTGGGCAAGTTTTAAGATAGACTAATTTAAAGTTTCAGTACTTAGGGTGAGACAGTGCTATATAAACATGAAAATAAAATCATGAGATTTTTAAATCAGAGAGTATGTGCAAGGAAGACAGGGAACAGCATACTTTTTCTGTTGCCAGTCTCAGCAATTAAAAGGTGGTTAATTTAAACTTTGTAAAAAGGTGGCCTTCTGGGCTCATGACGGCATCAGCAGCCCCCTGGTCTCTCAATCACTCTTGGATTCATTCTTCCCTTTTTTTGAAGTATACCACATGGTCACAGCTCTATCAGCCAATTTCCTGCCTACAGAATTCCAGTAATCTGACAGCCTTCATTTCGCCTTGTCTCACGCAGTCCCATCCAGCAGTGTTTGTGCTGAGATGGCTGACGGGGTCTATCACACAGCTAATTTCCTCACAAGCCACCCACACTCTTGGCCCCATCTCCAGAACATGCTATTCAGATAGGCTAGGAATTTTCCAAATCATCAAGTGCTAGTTCCTTCCTAAACTGCTCATTCCTCTTAAATTTTATAACAAGCAGCAATGAGAAATCAGGCTGTACTTTCCACACTCTGCTTGGAAATTTCCTCAGCTAAATATTGAAGTTCATTACTTACATATTCTATTTTTCTTCCAATAGTAGAACATAATTTGGCCAAGTTGTCACTTTATAACAAGAATCACCTTTCCTCTAGTGTTCAATAAATGTTCCTCATTTCCGTTTGAGATGTCACCAGAAGCATTTTTAATGTTCTTACATAAAGAAACATTCTGTCCCTAACGTATATGTATCTCAGAAATAAGAAAGCTTTCTCTACAGCTATCCTCTGAGCCCTCACCAGAATTGCCTTTAACATTCACAGTTCTACCAACAGTCTCTTCAAGGGCAATCTAGTGTTTTTCTATAAAGCACCTTAAAATTTCCAGTCTCGATCCATTATCCAATTCCAAAGCCACTTCTACATTTTTAAGTATTTGTTACAGCAGCACCCCACTTCCCAGTCCTAAAATCTGTATCAGATTTCTAGGGCTGCCATAACAAAGTAATACAAACTAGGTGGCTTAAAACAATAAAAAATTTATTCTTTCACAGTTCTGGAGATCAGAAATCCAAAATAAATATGTCAGCTGGGCCATGCTCTCTGAAGGCTCCACAGGAGGATCCTTACTTGCTGCTTCCCAGCTTCTGGTGGCTGCTGACAATACCTGACTTTCCTTGACTTACAGACACGTCACTCCAATTTCTGCCTGTATTGTTACATGGCAGTCTCCCTTCTGTGCCTTTGTCTTCACATGTATGTATCTTCTCTTTGTATCTGTGTTCAAATTTCCCTTGTCATATAAAGACACCGACCATTGGATTAGGATCTACCCTAATCCAGTTATGACCTCATAACTTGAGGATATCTGCAAAGACATTATTTCCAACTATGGTCATATTCATCACCACCAGGGTTAGCACTTGAATGTATCTCTTTCACGGTGGACACAATTTACTCACCATATAGAAAATTCTAAAAACAGAGACTTCTGAGAAAAGATAACATTGTCTGTGATGACAGTAATATTTGTGATCTGAACATATGTTATTAAGCTCCTAGTTTTCAGAATTTCTCCTGATGGTGTCGGAAGTAGTTTAACCTTCTTTAACTAAGATCTTTCCTATAACTTCATCATGAATCATTTTCTAAACAAAAGTATCTTTATTTACAATGAACTAATAGGAATCTCTAACCTTTAGCGCTTCAGTAGCCTTGCGAAGCTCCTTAATAACCGATGATAAAGCTTCTGGGTTAATTCCTTGTTCACAAAGCCGTACACAAATAGACAAAGTTTCCATATCTAAGCCAGTATTCAAAATTCTGGAAATCTCAAGCAGAACTGAAAAAAGATAAAGAAAACTTAAAAAAAAAA